GAGCTGTGGGGAGGCAGCGATATCCGAGCGCCGGACCGCGAAGCAACCGAGCTCTTAGATCTAGTGGACGACATGAACCTCACGAGTCAACTGAGAGCGGGAACCATTACGTACGAAGAAGGAGACCGCCGGACAACCATCGACCTCTGTCTTGTTACTGTAGGTCTTGTTGACCGAATGATCAGATGCGAAGTAGATCACAACATCAACCATGACTCCGATCACCTACCCATAGCAACGTCGCTGCATCTAGCAGTGACCGAGCTACAGCGAGAGAAGAAACGAAAATGGGAAGCTGTTGATAAGGAAACGTTTATCGAGACTCTCCGTGGATCGCTGCCGCAGCTACGAAGGCCAAGAACGAAGGCGGCGCTCGACAGATATGTAGAGACAACCATAGACGCCCTCTCAGCCGCTATCAAAGCCGCGGTCCCGACCAGCACCCTTTCACCAAAGTCTAGGAGAGGCTGGGACGAGCAGTGTGCAGCCATCTTGGCCGAGACGAAGCGACTCCGCCGCGACCACAGCGAGCGACAGACAGAGGAGAGCTGGGAGGCATACAGAACAGCACGCAACAGGAAAGGACGCATCATCAAGAAAGCTATCCAACAAGGACACCGCGAAGCAGTCGAAACAGCGGCCGAGTCACCTAGATCGCTGTGGAAGATCGCCAAATGGGCCCGGAACAGACAAAGCCAGCCGCCTACCGTTACGCCGGAAATCAAGAAACCCAACACGTCTCAGGTCGCCACGACGCCTCAGGAGAAAGCAGCACTCTTCAAGGAGACCTTCTTCCCCCCTCCGCCAGAGGCAAACCTCGAAGACATCGACAACGCATCGTACAACAATCCGATAGGCCTGCCGCCAGTATCGGAAAGCGAAGTAGAAGACGCCATCCAGGAAGCAGCACCGCTGAAGGCCCCGGGCCCCGACGGCATCACGAACCTGGCACTTCAAGTGGCGAGACCATGGATCACGCCACATCTCGTCCGCATATTCAACCAGAGCCTTCGACTAGGATATTGTCCACAACACTTCAGAAAGTCCACCACGGTGGTGCTCAGGAAGCCAGGCAAAGACAACTACACAGTGCCTAAAGCATACAGGCCGATAGCCCTCCTCAACACGGTGGGCAAAATCATGGATGCCATCATAGCGAGGAGACTAAGCTACCTTGCCGAAACACACGGATTGCTGCCAGATAGCCACATGGGCGGGAGAAGACGTCGGTCGACGGAACACGCACTGCACCAAATCGTGGATAGGATATACGAAGCCTGGGGTTCAGAACAGGCAATGGTAGCAAGCCTACTTCTCCTTGACGTGTCAGGCGCCTTCGATAACGTTTCGCACCGCCGACTCCTGCACAACCTGCGGAAGAGGCGGATCGACGAAGCGACGGTGCGTTGGGTTGCCAGTTTCCTCGGATGCCGAGAGACGGAGATCCACGTGGACGGATTCCGATCCGAGACCTACAGACTCGACACCGGCATCCCACAAGGGTCGCCCCTTTCACCGATACTCTACCTCTTCTACAACGCGGATCTCTTGGATAGCTGCAATGAGACCGGAGACACGACAGCCACCGGCTTCATCGACGACGTAGCGATCCTTGCCGTGGGAGACAGCACGGAGGAAACCTGCCAGAAGCTCCAAGAAGCGCTTCGGAAAGCCGAGACGTGGGCTCTCACTCACGCGTCCGTCTTCGCGCCCGAAAAGTTCCAGCTTACCCACTTCACACGAGCAAAAACCAGAATCGACACAGACAAAACACTCCACAGCCAGTGGGGAGAAATCAAGCCCAAGACAACCTGTAAATACCTCGGTCTCATCATGGACTCAGCCCTTAAGTGGAAACAACACATCGACGAGACAGAACGTAAGGTCACGAACACCATCACAGCACTCAGCAGTCTAGGCAGCTCCACGTGGGGCGTGATGACGAGAGAGATGAGGACGATCTATAGGGGAGTGGCAATACCACAGATGATGTACGCATGCTCGCTGTGGTCCAACAGCGGTTGGGGACAGATGGGCTACACGAAAAGAACATTAAACAGACTGCAGAGGCTCCAAGCCAGAGCAGCCAGGACAATGTGCGGAGCATACAGAGCAACCTCGTTCCCAGCACTGGATGTGGAAATGCACCTCCTGCCAGTCGAACAACAGATATGGAAACACAACATCGACACCAACAGCAGAGTAGGCATGGCCGAAGTCACCGCACGCAGAGGAAAGAAAATTAGCCCAAGACAGACGATAACAAACCGAATACGCGATGGACAAGATGTTAGCAACGAACAACACGAACACGAGCACATACCGCCCTTCATCACTCCCCCGTGGTGGCGGGGACCGCGTATCCACATCGCCGGAGGCACGGAGCAGGCCGAAAAAGAACACGAACGTTGTCTGGAAAACAACACCGACGCAGCCCACATCTATACA